CACATTTACAGAAAGTCTTTCTTGTGCACCGCTCATCAAGCCAGTGTTTTACTTCATGTTAATGCGGGAGTAAAATAAGGCCATCAGCCACTGAAGTCAGCAAATTCCAAGGTAGTCTGGGGATGCCCTGATTCTGTCCTACTGCCCTCCCCTCCTCCCCCTGTCTATATCAGCATTTATAGTCTGAGCACAATAATTTATGCTTTAAGCAATTAACTTGAGACATTGCAGGTTCTGGAATATTATATGAATCTCAGTCCACAAATCCCCAAACAACAGTGTGTGAGAAATACAATTTTATTTCCAGTAACTCTGTTGAATTTCCATCTCTACACCACCATGGTCACTACCACCACCACCACTACCACCATAACCCATTATACCTAGCTGGTAGGAAACTTACCTTCTCATTTTTGGTGGAAGGAGTGTTTATCAAGTGCTCCCTGGAATTGTCAAGGTGTAGGGTGGTAAAGCACTGAGGGGGTTGGGTGTATATTGCCCCTTGAGTCCCCTTTTCACTCAGGTGAAAGGAAGCAAGGCCCTTTATGTCTAGCAGCTCCACTGTTTCTGTTTGGACTCCTGCTTTAGGCTTGGAAATCTTTATTTGGCTGCTTCTATTCACATCTGCGCAGATGTCTCAGCAGCCCTTTGCTCTGCGGGCTTGCTTTCTCCCTGACAGGTATGCTGGAAAGCTGATAAAGTACCTTTTTCTTTCCTCTCTCCTCCCTCCATCCACACAAAATCTCTTTGTAGTTGGCGGTGAAAAGAAGTCCCACCCATTAGTCCCCTACCCATCCCAAACCCCCGTTTCTGGCAAAGACACTTTGTCTCAGTCTACCGGGTCTCAAACTTTGGGAAACCAAAGTCAGGAAGGCCAACAAGCTCTTTCCTCACCAGAGGCTGTGAGTGCAGGACAGACCATGTACTCAATTGGGAGTTGGGTGGAAGGAAATGAAAAAGGAGGAAAAGGGGCTATACGGTGATGAAAAAGACTGCATTATCTCAAAATGTTATCTTGGAGTAATAGCTAGCATTTTTTATGTGCTTACACAATGTGCCAGGTGCTATATTAAGTGCTTTGTATGGATTATCAAGTAATTCTCACAAGCCAGAAATAAGTTATTGTTATCCACATTATACAAGTCAGGAAACTGTGTCTCTATGAGGTTTAGTCACTTGACCAGTGTCACACTGCTAGTAAGTGACAGGGTTGGAACTCGAGCCCAGCTTCCAAAGTCCGTCGCCTTGCTCCAGTTTCTGGCTTCTGGTTCATGATGTACTTCACAGAATGAATTTCTGCTTCAATCTTGCAGTTGCTCCTGAAGGCTAACCTATAGGCATTAGCTAGGGTTCATGCCAATGGCTCAACTGGTTCCCTTTATTTTTGCCAGCCAGGTTTCCCTAGAAAGTACTCTGATGTCTTTCTCCAGCTCCCAGGTACGCAGCATGCCTAGTCCTCCAGAGTCACTTGGTGTTTCAATCCTTAGATCTCAGCAGTACCCCGGGAGGGGACCACCATCCCATGTTGTAACAGGTAACTCAGGTGTGTGCATATGTCACAAACTTCTATATTTAGAAGCCATGTAAAGAACTGCCTCATTTTCCTTGGCTGATGTGGCTCAGTTGGTTGGACATTATCCCACGCACCAGGAGGTTGCTGGTTCCATTCCTGGTCAAGGGCACATACTGGATTGCAGGCTTGATCCCCCATAGGAGGCGGGCAGGAGGCAGCTGATGGATGTTACACTCTCACATTGATGTTTCTCTCTCTCCCTCTTCCTTCTTCTCTCTCTAAAAAATCAATCAATTAAAAATTATGCATATATTTAAAGAACTGCCCCATTTAATGGTAGAATGTGCACCTTGCATGAAGTGAGGTTGGGCAGCCCATAACAGTGAGGGGTTTTAGCTCACAGGGAAGCCTATTACATCCATCTTGAGATGAACAAGGAGTTTAAAATGATTGGCTTGACAAACAGGCAAGCATGTTTAAACAAAATTGTCCTGCCCCAGGAATAATTGAGCAGTGTGGAACTACTACCATGGTCTTTAAAACGATCATTTTCAGTGTCACTCAGGCAGCTTAGCCAAAAACATAGATGGGTCACCAAAGTTCCCGCACTAAAAACAGGAAGAATTATGGGGCCGGGGAACACAAACACAAAAATGAGGGAATATAAAAAGAGAAAATAATTAAAATAGTTATAATAGAAAGACACTTTGAAATTTGTGAATTTATTGAGTTTTGTCCTTTTAAATTTCCTCTCCCATGAAGCCTCCTCAGGTCCAGATGTGATTACTGATTTTTAATCTCCTACCTTCTTTACCTACTGTTCTCTTTCAATCATTCCCAAAACCCTGTGGAGAGGTAATATCATCCCTAGTGTAGACATGAAAGAATGTGGCCTCAAGAGGTTAATGAACATTTGGGCAAGGCCTTGGGATCAGGAAATAATTGTTCTCTCTTTGTGTTACAATATATTGACTCTAGTAGGTCGTTTAGGAGTGGATTTAAAGATTTGAGGAAGAGACCACATATCTGAATTGCTTGGCCTCTTGGTATTGTTAAAATTAAAACATGTTAATCACTGTCCCTCCTGCCTTTGTGTAGGTTGACCTGGGCCAGACGTAGAAAGCATTATACTTGCAATATTGGGAGTTTCTCTTCCCTTTGGCAATTAAGAATAAATTCTGTAGAGCAGTGGTGCACACTGGGGAGCTTTTAAAAATCTCGATGCCTGAGTGACATGCCTGAGAATCTGAGGAGTGGGACCCAGATACCAGTATTTTAAAAAACTCCCTCAGTGTTTCTCCTCTGCAGCCATGGTCAAGAACCAGCCCTCTAAAACAGTGGTTCTCAAACTTGAACATGCACCAGAATCACCTGGAAGGCTTGTTAAAATTCTGATTGCTGCCCGGCCAGTGTCATTCAGTGGTTGAACATCAACCTATGAACCAGGAGGTCACAATTCGGGGTACATGCCCGGGTTTTGGGCTTGATCCCCAGTAGAGGGCTTGTAGGAGGCAGCCATCTCCTGGACTGTGTTAGTATTGTATTCTTCCAGGTGTCAATTCTGGGGAAAAAATGCCTGGGACACATAAATTTTGTCTCAACCCTCTAATTAGTTCTGGCCATCCAAGACGTGTTTTCAAATAGTAGTTGGAAGACACTAACCCAAAATGTATTCATTATTTTGTGTACTTCAGCTGTTACTATAATCCTTGTATTTAGAATCAAGCTGATTGCTAAATACAACAATAAACATTCAGGCCTTGAGTACCTCATGTTTTCATTATATTTACCGCTAGTTCAATAAAACATTTTATAGACATACATTCTTATTAAAGACCTAATTAATTCCCATGATACCCATGAGAAGTAAAGAGGTGGGTTCTACTATGCCCATTTTAAGAGGCGATAATTAAGCCCTGCCTGGAGTTACACTGACTATTTGAAGAGCCAGGAGTAAATTGCAAGTCTTGACAATGGTGCTGTGTCTGCTAGTCAGTACCGTATTTTGCTGGTGTCATTGATTCATCAGAGTCTGTTTAGTGCCCAGTTATAAATGTCTAATTTCAAAATCATTTAAAATGTACACAGCAGATTGTAAAGGGTGGTTGCTAATTAGAGAAGGACAAGAAAGCTAGGACATTTCATTCCTAAAGGTTTACCCTTTTAAAGCAATACAGCAGTAGAAAAGTGAAAAAAACAAACAAAACCTATACATTACAGTTCAACAAATATCTATTATGGGCTAGGGCTACTTGGTGCAAGTCCTGTTCTAAGTACTATGGAATAGGAAGGATAAATACATATCCTCAATATGTCATATTAAATGTGCCAAAATGTGTGTATAGGATGCTTCTGTGTCCTTGGCGGCAGACAGTTTTATGAAAAAGGTAGAAATGGAGATGGGCCTTGAAATATTAGTGGGACTGGTTCAAGTGGTCAGGAGGAATCTAGCTGCTAGACAAAGAGGTAATGACCATGGGTGGGGTTGTAACCAGACAACCAGTGGATCCGGACTGCCTGTCACTACTTGAGCCTATTAAGCAGAGACAGGGTTGAATCATTTATTCCAATATATGAGCATTTATTCCAATAATGCTGGCAGTATGGGGGAGCAGTAGGTCATCCACAAAAATCTACTCCGCCCCTCTCCACAAGTCAGCAGCTTATATTGGGTAAAAGGACAAAGATTACATGGGAAAGTAAGAATTACAGGCATGGGAAAGTTGGCAATGGTTATAGGTTACAGGCAATGCGGACTGGGGGTGGGGGGTTGCAAAGGGTGGGTGCCTTCTGGACCAAATTACAGGCAACAAGGTTGTTAATCTAGGCAGTTTTTGGAAAAGGAGGAAGGACTGCATTCCTCCCATGTCTCAGGGGGTAAGACCCTCAGCCAGGTTAGAATGTACTTTCTCTTATCAGAACAGAACAATCAAAATTAACAGAGCATGATTAATATTTCTTATAATTATAGGTAGTCCCCAATATTCTATTTCTGCCCCTAACAGGGCCATACTTGCTATTGTCTGGAAGAGGAAGTTAGGAGCTCTCCAGTGGTCATTTCCTGCTATGTGAACTGAAGGCAGAAAAAGCCAGACAGTAAGGGAGAGAATAAATAGAATTGCAGAGGAAACAAAGGGAGACTTCCTGAGTTCTTATCAATACTCCAGTTTCTGGTTCCAGGCTCTGCCTGAGCCTCAGCTGCATTCCTGATCTACCCCAGTGTCTTCAAATGAATTCCAGTGTTTTGTTGACCAACAGGAGAAACCAAGCAGTTGTTATTATTTTGTTACTGTTGTTGCTAATCCTCACCAGAGGATATTTTCTCCATTGTTTTTAGAGAGAGTGGAAGGGAGAGGAAGGGACACAGAGAGAAAAACATCAATGTGAAACACATTAATTGGTTACCTCCTGCACTTGCCCTGACCAGGGCTGAGGATTGAGCCTGCATCCCAAGCACATGCTCTTGACAGGAATCAAAGCTGGAACCCTTCAGTTCATGGGCCGATGCTCTAACCACTGAGCAAACCTGGCTAGGGCCCAAGCAGTTATTGAAGACAGGAATCCTAGCTGCAAGTTTAGGAATGAGCCAAGAGAGTTGAGTGTTACCAGACCTAAGCCCTGGGGCAAGTACTTGAAAACAACCCAGTAATCTTTGGTTTAGAAACCACATTGTGCGTTGGCCATGTGGGCTAAAGGGGCCACATGCTAACCTGACAAGCTCAGGGGAGGCCTGCATGGCGGTCTTGCAGAATCAGAGACCTAAAGTAACCACAAAGGATGGTCTGAAATTAAACTTTAACCAAAAGCAGTTATGGTGGGTAGTTACGTCCTAGGCCAGTATCTTCACTGACAAGGTCAACTTTACCTTAACTGAGCCTATCTGTCTTTTTGCATCTATGATAACATACCCTTTGAAATGTCTGGGTAACTTGTAACTTCCCTTTTTCTGGACCCCTTGGGGCACAACCTAATGTGCTGGGCCCCAGGACAGATACCACAAATTCCTTCATTATCATGTTAATTGATCCTGCACCCACCTAAGTATGTGTCTATCATTTTACTCTTTAGTCAATCCCCAGGGGTTCCCCCCCCACCCCCGCTTTGCTTTCTCCCTCCTCTCTAGTGTACCGCCAATGGATTTCATGTAACCCACCTATGTCCCTTTCCTTTGATTGCAATGTATAAATACAGATGTAACCCGCCATTCTCTGGAGCATTATCTCAATTCATTGCGGTTCTGCTTCCCGGCATATGTTGACAGTTTGGCTCAAATAAACTCACAAAAATTCTTTACAGGTTTCAATGTTTTGTTTTGTTTTTCACATTAACAGCCAGATAGTTAAAAGAGTGAAGGAAGCTCACCAGGTCTTATTCCTGCTACTAAGGCTATGGCTTCAGATTCTTCCACTGAGATAAATTGCCAGACTTAGAAACCTCCTTGCTTCTTGGGCACAATTTGCATGATGGCTGCTGCTTGTAGGTCAACTGGATAAAAAACATTTTTAATCAGGCAGATTATCTTCTTTCTAAAGGCAAAAAGAGTCATTCACCTGGAATTAAACCACCTACTTGAGAATAGCTGTTTTGGCAAGAGAACTGTTTGCCCAAGTATTTGTTCTTAGTATTATTTTTAATGTATTTTAATGACAGATTGTGACTTGGAGGTGATTCATTTTTATTTCCTAGTTGTCTTGACAACAATGTACTTTATGATATTCTATGTACTTGAGAATCATGACATTTTATAATCAAGTAATATGCTTATTAAAATTTTGGTTCAAAATGCATTGGTAAAATTCTGTCGGGTTGGGTGAATTGGAGAGTGACAATTATTTTTATTAAAACACTAGAGGCCCAGTGCACAAAATTCATGCATGGAGGGGGGGCCCTCAGCTGGACCTGCACCCTCTCCAATCCAGGAGCTGTCAGGGGATGTCCTACTGACGGCTTAGGCCCACTCCTGTGGTTCTCTGTTCTCTGGGGGGCCTGGCTATTTCACTGCCGCCCCGAGAATGAAGCTGCTATGCCCCGCTGTCTGCTCTCTGTCTGCTGGGCCTGGGGGCTTCGCCACCATTGCTGTGTGAACGAGGCTGCTACGCCCTGCTGTCTGCTTTCAGCGGCAGGGCTGAAAGGACTGGGGGACTCCAGCAGGGCTGAGGGGACTGGGCACCACCATCTTTGTGATGGAGTGAGGGTCAATTTGCACATTCCCTTTTTATTAGATAGGATTTTCTAAGAGGTCACAAACTGTTGTAGGCAGTGGGAACGGGTGTTAGACCTGTGCGGTCAGATCCAATCTGGGTTTAGCAACCTCAATACTTGAGTTCTGGCTAGGAAAGAGAACATTTATAAAATCACAGAGGTGGGAGAAGTAATTTGTAGAAGAAATGTGCTTAAGAAACAAGTTATAGAGGCAAAGGAAGGGCCCTTGGAGTTAGAAGTGAGGAAGGTAATGGTAACACACCTGGGAGGATGGGAAAGGGAAGGGAAAGGTGCTGGTGAGCTCCAGGAAGGGAGAGGCACTGGCTCCACTGCCCTAAGGGCTTTAAGGGTGGAGAATTTAGGGAGGGTCTCGGGAAAATCTCAATAGATTATTCAGCCATTTCCCAGGTATGTCCTTTCAGGGTGTGGTCTCCACTTATTGATTGACTGACACCAGGGCAGGGGGTCATTATTCAATGGAGCTGGTCCTGAAGTCAGCTGTAGCTGGTTTTGCTTTTCTGGGCCTGGAGCTGAAATACAACTGAGGCATATATATTATCTCTAGGGAGGAAAGATCAGGGCGTCTAAATTGCATGACCAGCAATATGCTAGGGGAGGAAAGGTCACCCTGGGACAAGGTCCCACCCTACAATTATCCTTTGCTAGGCATCTAGGGCTTTCCACCCTGGTGACCTTCTGTTTCTGGCCCATCATCCTTGCTCTGCTCCTGTCTGTCTAACTGACTTGAGGACCTTTACTAAATTTAATTTCAGGGAGGGTTAACTGAGGTGTCCCACCTAATGACTTCACTTAGAATTTACTTTTACTACATTTGTACTTTTAGATTTTTTTTCTGTATTTATGTTGTTAAAGAACAAAAATTAACTGAATAACTTTAAAGATCAAATTGACTTTATTCAACAATTCATGATCTGGCAGCATCCCATCTAGCAAACAGAAAGGAGTTATCAAAAGGGGGAAAGAAAAAGTTTCTAACAAAAGGTAAATTGTTTCCTTTGCGGGAGAAGAGGACCTGTCATGCAGATTACCTCACTAGTACTAATCAGGTAATTCCAGGTTGACTGGAAAGGTTCTATTCCTGGTAGAGGCTGAAATTGCAATGTGGGTAGGTATTAAGTTTTGGTTTGTTGATGTGGGCCTTAGCACAAGGAACTCCATTTTGGGCCTGTTGTCTCTCTTTTTTTTCTTTAACAATTTTCCCCCTCAACTGAGAGATGTTATCAGATTTTAAGGCATTAATGCCACACTCAACTACAGCTCTTCTGTTCTTGAAGGTCTTAAGCTCTGTGATATTCACAGGCCCCAAATTCACAATTTTAATTCGGTCATTCTCTTCATTCCTTTTCTGACATTCCAGTTTAGGAAGATCATTTGCTTGGTGGGTAGTGGCTTTGAACAAGTACTTAAAGGCTTCTGAGAGACTATAGTGTGCTAGGGATTACTAGGAT